GGGCTTAGGGTTGGAGTTTAGGGTTTAGGGTTTAGGGTTTAGGGTTTAGGGTTTAGGGTTTAGGGTTTAGGGTTTAGGGTTTAGGGCTTAGGGTATAGGGTTTAGGGTTTAGGGTTTAGGCTTTAGGGCTTAGGGCTTAGGGCTTAGGGTTTAGGGTTTAGGGTTTAGGGTTTGTGGTTTAGGGTTTAGGGTTTAGGGTTTAGGGTTCAGGGTTCAGGGTTTCGGGTCTAGGGTTCAGGGTTCAGGGTTCAGGGTTCAGGGTTTTGTTGAGGGGTTGGAGCTTAGGGCTTGGGTGTAGCCTTTCGCCCAGAGTGTGGCATGCTATAGTAGTAAGCAATACTTCCCGAAATTAAGCCCCCAAGCCTGAAGCCCTATGAGCCTAAACCCTAAACCCGAGCCCCCAACCAAAGGAGAAAACCACACACACGCACACACAAAGAAAAAACAGAGGCTTGGCAAACAACAAACAACAACAAAAGCAAGCAGCTTGGTTGCCCCCGACGCAAACAGGAAAACGTACTAAAAAACACAGCAACGATAAAAAAAAACAACAAAAAACTCATCATGATAACAACAAGGACGATAATAACTAGGGTGTAGGGTTTAGGGTTTAGGGCTTAGGGTTTAACGGTATAGGGCTTAGGGTTTAGGGTTTAGGGTTTAGGGTTTAGGGTTTAGGGTTTAGGGTTTAGGGTTTAGGGTTTAGGGTCTAGGGTCTAGGGTTTAGGGTTTAGGGTTTAGGAGTAAACTGGGCTGTCCCCAACTCCTGGGACTTGGCGCGCATCTGGTCCAGCTCCGACAGGGGCTGCCCCTCCTGCGGGGCTTTAGGGATGTAGGGTTCTGGGGGTTTGCTTTAAGGTTTAAGGTTTAGGGTTTATAGGGTTTAGGGTTCAGGGTTTAGGGTTTAGGGTGTAGGGTTTAGGGTTTAGGGATTGAGTTTAGGGTTAGGGTTTAGGTTTTAGGTTCCGGTTTAGGGCTAAACAGGCTACACATGTACCCTAAACCCTGTTTGAAAACCCCTAAACCGACTCAAAGATAGGGAGCTCAGACATCGTCGCAATTTGTCAAAGGAACGGCCCACGCTTCGATTTTCTCACAGCCACTGCTGAAGCCGCGATTCAGCAACTCTCTGGCGATCGTGTCGTGCGTGATCAGGAACCGCATTCCTCGCACCCCTAAACCCTAAACCCTAAACCCTAAACCCTAAACCCTAAACCCTAAACCCTAAACCCTAAACTGAAGACCGGCCCCCTCTTCCTTCATTTCCCGGAGAAAGCCTTTGTCGACTTTGCACATGAGGTGCGACAGGGCCAAAGATTCGGCTTTCCCCTGTCTCGTAGGACTGGGCCAAGTTGGACGCGTTCCCCCTATCCACATATCACACCCAAACAAATTTTTAGTGATCGCTGTGACTGTGTTACTTCATAAAAAGTTGTTAGCCCAATCTACCCGGAGCCACACAGGTTTAGGGTTCTCGGAGCTCTGGGCTTCTAGGTTTTAGAGTTCTACCGTTCTAGGATTTAGGGTTAGAGCGCTCGGGTTTGGGACTGTAGGGTGTTAGGGTGTGAGTGCACCCAGAGCAGTGAGCATGATAACATAAGGCTGTGTGGACTTCCAGTGTGGGATGCCGGATTGCGCCCTGGACCTTATGCTAGGCAGGCGGATCCATGAGCACCCCCAGTGGGGGAATGCGCATCAGACTGCAGTCTCTGAGCCATGTCAGGCAAGCTGGCATGCTCTGCCATCACTGCGTTAAGGTGACGGGTGCTGCCCCAGTCTACTCCTAGAGGCGAACCATGGCTGGGCCATGAGAAGAGCTGCGGCCTTATACCCACAACCCGAACCCCACCCCCCCCCCCCCGGAAGTTTTTTTGCAGCTTGGAGGTTCATGAGTACTTCTAACCCCAATGATAAAGTCGACTTCGCACCTACTTAGGGGAGTGCAGTGAAAATTGGGCTTATAAGTACCCTGAACCTCCAAGTAGGGCTTAGGGTTACCTCTTTAATGGCCATCACCCCCCCCCCCCCCCTGAAGGCCTCGTCTAGCAGCGGCTCCTCGGACGCAAACTCTTGAAGGCAACGGGGGGTCCAGAGGTGAGAGGTACCTCGTGAGCATTAGGGCGCTAAAGCCTGCGGGAAAATCAAGGACTGCTTAGGAACCCCAGAATCTTGGTCTCGGGCTCTCCAGATTAGGATTGTCTGCAAAGCCCTAAACCCTAAAAGCCAGGTGTGGGCAGCGCGAAGTGGTGCGGTCCCAGGGTGTAGGGCTTGGGCGAAAGCGTGGGGTGAAGAAGATGCCCTACAACCCCCAACACCCACAAGGAAGGGAAGAAGAACACCCTAAAGCCTCAATCCTAAACCTTACATCCCTCAACCAAAGGGCACCCTAACCCCTAAATCCTAAACCCTAAATTCTAAACCCTAAACCCTAAACCCTAGACTCCAATCCCTGGTGTGAGTTTTCCGCTCTTTTCGCTCCTCACAGCGGTCGACGACCTCGGAGCCCGCAAGGAGCTCGTGAAGCTTCACGGTCACCTTTGTGTGCTTTGCAAGGGTTTAATGTTTAAGGGTTTAGGGTTTAGGGTTTCGGGTTTAAAGTGTAGGGTTTAGGGCTTGGGGTTTGGGGTTTAGGATTTAGGGTTTAGGGTTTAGGGTTTAACCAGGAACTGAGGAGCCCCGAAGACCCGAAGTCGTAACCGGACAGATAATTCCCAAGTGAGCTGAGCTCTTCTTGCGCTTGGGGTCCATCATGCCGACACCATACATACAGAGTACCCCAGCCGGTGGCGTTCAGCACCGGGTGTTCCGCCCGCTGGTCTGTGCCATGGATAAACACAATGTCCACGCCCAAAAACCACGTTGAAGTCGTATGTCCTCGGCGTCGCCGAAGGTAACCTCGTACGTGGTCGTCGTTCCTTGGCACACCCAGCACATTCAAACTCTGAGGACATACTGGACAATGTCATCCCTGGTCCCAGCGCCTTTCAGGAGTCGGACAAAGTCCCGCTTGCTGGGTTTAGGGTTCATAGGGTTCATAGGGTTCATAGGGTTCATAGGGTTCATAGGGTTCATAGGGTTCATAGGGTTCATAGGGTTCATAGGGTTCATAGGGTTCATAGGGTTCATAGGGTTCATAGGGTTCATAGGGTTCATAGGGTTCATAGGGTTCATAGGGTTCATAGGGTTCATAGGGTTCATAGGGTTCATAGGGTTCATAGGGTTCATAGGGTTCATAGGGTTCATAGGGTTCATAGGGTTCATAGGGTTCATAGGGTTCATAGGGTTCATAGGGTTCATAGGGTTCATAGGGTTCATAGGGTTCATAGGGTTCATAGGGTTCATAGGGTTCAGGGTTCATAGGGTTTAGGGTTTAGGGTTTAGGGTTTAGGGTTTAGGGTTTAGGGTTTAGGGTTTACCCCAAAGAACCCAACACCCACTTCTTTTGCAGGTCCTGTTCTTCGTGGGACTACAAAAAAGACTTTGGGTTCTGAAGGGAGGGGAATTCGGGTGTTCAGGAAGTCAAAGTTCCTCCCTGCATGAACTAAAGACTAACCCCTGGAGTGGCTTCTGATTACCTTGGTCTTCTCGGAGCTTGCTTCAAAAACGCACCGAAGCGCCACCCCCCTCCCTAAACCCTAAACCCTAAACCCTAAACCCTAAACCCTAAACCCTAAACGGTTTCCAAAACTCCTGGGCATCCGGGCGCCAGTCTGCACGGCGTGTGACTCTGCGAGCCTCACGGTCGCTCTACGCCCCCGTACCTAAAACCCTTGGAGTTTAGGGTTTAGGGTTTAGGGTTTAGGGCTGAGGGCTTAGGGTTTAGGGTTTAGGGAAAGTATGCAAAAAGATGGTCCTTTTTTTATTATCTTTAACCTACTTGGGGGTCCAGGTATCTAACCTTACGAGGGCTTGGGGTTTCAAGGTTTTAGGGCTTCGGGTTGAAGATGTGAATCTTGAGGCTTAGGCGTTACGGCGTAATGTCGGGGCTTAAGGCTCAAGATTTGGGATTGTTTCGGAATTCGAGAGTCTTATCACAGTCATCTCACAAGCAACCAACATCACCGTTTGAGCCACACAAAGGGGCGGGGTTGAATAACGATTGATACCATGCTCGGAGCTTGCATAGACCCTTGCAGCTCGGCTGAACCATGTCCTCTGGTGGAGATCCGAACTGCGTTCTACACAAACTACGGATCAGCTTAGACTTTAATTCTTCCCTACAAACTAAGGAAAGCCCCACAGTTTTAAACTTCCACTTTGCCTCAGCAAGCCGACACTCCCGGCCTGTACAGCTCATCCAGGTCTGCTGCCTCCTCCTCCGACAAAGCTTTGGCTCCCTCCGCCACACCTCGGTTTAGGGCATTACGGCGGCAAGAGACGAGGGCCACCAGCACGCAACCCAAAAAATAAAATAGAGCCAAAAAAGAAAACCGAAAGCCCTGCCGAACTCACTTCAGACCCCCTCAGCTCCAAACCTCAACTCCCTAAGCTCCCTGCCACACAGCGGCCTGTGGGGGGAGGGGGGGGGGGGGGCAGGGGGTTGTTTGAGGTTCGGCTTAGGGTTTAGGACTTCTCCTCAACCCTCAGCCCTGAACTCCGAAGCCAGACTGCCACTGGGCGCACAGGCATTCCTGCGCCAGAAACTTCCGCAGCTCGTCTGGAAGCGACCTGGCCACAATCGTCGGGATGTAGTACAGGATTTCGGGTTTACCTGGGACCCTCTTTACCTCCCGTTTGATGGGTTGTACCTACTAAGTCAGGGTAGTAACAAGAGTCCCAGGTAAGTCTTCGGCTGGGTTGGAGGCCACGTCCGCAAAGTTTTTGAAGCTGAGCTCTAGGTTCAAGGGAGTTTGGCCTTGTTGGGAGTTATGGGCTTTAAGCCCGCTTTTTTGGCTTTGGGGATTTAGGAGTTTAGGGCCGCATCGGCGGAGTGGTTGAGACTAAAATTTTTGAGTTTAGGGTATTTTGGGGTGGTTTGGGAGCCCTCAACCGTAAACCCGAAACTCCACAAAATTGTGGGTTCAGGGTTTTTTGGGGTGGTTTGGGAGCCCTCAACCGCGGACCGTAACCATAAACTCATTTGGAGCATGTGGGGAAGCTTAGGGGTTTGGAGTTGAGGGCCTTGGGGAGACCTAAACCCGAAACCCTGAACCCTGAACCCTAAACCCTAAACCCTAAACCCTAAACCCTAAACCCTAAACCCTAAACCCTAAACCCTAAACCCTAAACCCTAAACCTAAATCGCAGCGGCGAGGCTTCTGGCGGCTGAGGGTCTGGGGATTTTGGACTTAGGGCTTTGTGGGTTTCGGGTTTAGGGAATTGGGGCCTCGACACACCTTGTCCAATAAACAAAGATGTTCATCCTTTGGGTTTATATGCAGACAGAAACGTCTCAGGGTTTAGGGTTTAGGGTTTGGGGTTTAGGGTTTAGGGTTTAGGGTTTAGGGTTTAGGGATTTTACTGAAAATCAAGATGTCAGACTCGGCTACTAAGTGAGGATTCTGACTTCGAGTCACACCCAGGACCCAAGCTTGTCCAACGACCCTTTTGTTGGCTAGAAGAGGATGATGGAATAGCAATTGTGGACATAACCTATGTACCTTTTGAACCCTGTAACCCCTAGGCCCTAAACCCTATGAACCCTAAACCCGTAACCCTATGTACCCTAAACCCTAAACCCTAAACTCCACCAAGGCCAACGGAAAGGTCAAACGGGAGAGCCCGACACAAAAACGCGACTCGGCATGGCGATGGAAAGCTAAAAAGGCTTGAGGTTCTACTTGGGTTGTTCAGGATTTAGGGTTTAGGGCTTAGGGTACGAACCCGAAGACCTACATAGCTGTTGCTGCTCGGGGCGCTTAGGGGTAAGAAGCGCCTACGTGTTTAGAGGCTTAGTGGGGCTGTGGCTAGGTGCTCTTGCTCGTTCACAACCATCGCACTACCCCATGGTGTGGAGCCATTCACGCAGCAGTCGCCTTGCAATTCGGCTGCGAAAAAACCGGAAAGCAAGAACTCCCTTAAGGCCCACAAACCCCAACAGCCTACGCCTAAGCCCTGCATCCTCGCATCCCCACTGACACCTTGCCCCTTACCCTTAAACCCTAAACCGCCCTAAACCCTAATTAAATCCTAAATTGCCACACCTACCATGAACACCAGAGGTGAGGGATGCCTCCAAACTTCATGAGGGGATTTGCCCCCGGCTGCAAACTAAGCCCTAAGCCTTAGACCCGCCAGAATTTCAGGTGTAGTAGCAGCCTTGGAAAAACAGGGTGCCTGTCATTACGCGAAGAGTTTTATGAAGGTACCCGACACCCCCCCCCCCCCCCGCCCTCCTCCAAAGAACGGGTGAACGAGGGATACAAAGAGAGAAAGGAGTAAAGCCAGAACCCTGCACCCAAGACAGCGTAAGGTTTAGGGTTTAGGGTTACACCTTAAGCCCTAAAGCCGAAATCCCTCAAGCCTATTTACGGCACGCATGTATTTTGACTTGTTATTGGGCGCATGTATTTTTACTTGTTATTGGGCATTATTATCAACAGTCTCTGCGGTGAGGCACCTTTTCACGCGCGCTCTGTTCGCCGACGTAGGCATGGCATACGACAAGAATTGATTCAAGGTGCATCGGCACAACCCCAAGCAACAGCAGTCCAACTCGGAGAATGGAACAAGGCTCAAACTCAAAGCCCAATCCTTGCGCTCAGACAGCTCCGGCGGGGGACACTCCGAAGGCTGCAAGCAAGCCGCCATCGCATCGATGAAGATGGTTCTCTCAACGGAACCCAGCATCTGAGGTGTCGGGATGCATGGGAACATAGGAGTGATTTTGGCTTTAGGGCCTGGCAAAAGTAAAGCCTTGAGGGATTGGAAAGGATTTGGGTTGGGGTGCTTCAGGTCAGGCTATATGCATCAAAGGCCCATATAATACAAGGTTTGAGCTGATGGGCGGAGCATGTGCAGCAATTTTGCAAAGCAGCTGTGCAGGCTGCTGCAGGCTTTTCTACGGCGAGACTTTGACGCACACTAGAAAGCAATGTTCTTCCTTTGTCTTGCAGGAGCTTCGATTAAACTCTCAACTCAGCATGCATACTGGCTGGCTCATTGCGCCGTTGCTATTGATAAAGCCTTGATAAAGCCTAAAGCTTTCTTTCCGGAATACAATGCCGACTCAACAGGGCGGCTGTCTGCACCCGGGCTGTGATAAGGTTGTTTGCCTGAAACCGTAGTTTTGCCCAGTAGCCCTACTCGTTCTCTCCCTCAAGCATCTGCAAGTAAGACACGAGTGCCCCACAATCACATAGAAAACAGGCACTGGCTCCTCTTACACTGTCAGACAGCAACCTCATCACTCCGAAGCCGCTTTTGCTGAGCGCAGAGCACTACCAGAAACGATATGCGTGGCCTCCTAGTGGTCCTCTTGGCCGTAGACTAATCTTTAGCCTACTGAATCCGAATCTTCAACCATGAAGGCGTTGACTTCAACACATCACGCTTCAGCAGTCGTCATTCGGAAGGTACTTGGAGCCAGCTTTGTGCCGAGGCCACTCACCCATTCGACCATTTCGGGCAAAATGCATGACGAGCAAGTCGGGCAAGCGCAAACAAGAAGGTTCTCTCAGCAGTTTACGCGATAGTTCGATTAGCTGCGCCAGTTCCGATTTTATCTGTCTGCTGTCTTCGCTCGTATCCACTGTCTCGGCATCAGTCAAACATTTTATCAGCTTTCTCTTGCTTTCTTTGGTCAGCTCAGCGTGGCAAACGACTAGCCGTGCTTGAAGGTGCATCGCCACTGCGCGCGGGCCATCATCCACTTGAGTGCCCTCCAAACTGTTTGCAGCAGCTGCTGGTCTCCCGGCTAGGAAGTGTGCTTTGCTCCTGGCTGTGAAGCAAAGCATGTTCGGTTCAACGTGATATTTGTTTACCAGGAGGTCCCAAATCCTTTCAACTCGTCTCCAGTCATCCCCGGCAGCATTGATAAGACTGCCGAGGGTGACTTCGGTAAGAGAGCAACCCGGTCTCCGAACAAACTCCTGCAGCAGCTCTTCCACTCGGGCCTTGTGCTTGCATCGCTCGAACAATGACCAAAGAGGTGAGTATTGTATGGCAGTAGCATTGTACTTCTTCTGCGCATTGCAACAGTTCAGCAGCTCTTCCGCCCATGGCAAGGCCTGCTCACCGATTTCAGCACACACCCTCCAAGCAGCACCCAACGCGCAGAGGAAGTCCAGCTCTTTGGATGGGAAAGACATATGATTCCAAACATGCTTGCTCAGACGCAAAGCTCGATCCTTGCGCGCAGAAAGCTCCAAGTCACTGCACTGAGAGCGCTGCAAGCAAGCAGCCATGGCGTTGATGAAGATGCTTCTCTGAATCCGATCAAGCTGAATGTTATGATGAACTGCCTCGTCATACACCTGCATGAGGGCTTCCCACCAACGCCTGTGGCCGCAAGTTTGCATAGCAGCACCAATCACACTACCATCCACTTCTTTCACCTGAAACGCCTCCGACAAGCGTCTTAACAAGTTGCTTGCCCTTGTGCAGCTTTTCATCTCAGCTCGCCGGTGAGAAAGCTTCGGGTCTCGATGAGGAGAACTATCTCGCACGGGATCTGTCGGCGTAGCCGTGAAGTAAAGTTTCTTCTTTGTTCTGCTCTTGCTCCGACCTGTAGCCGAGGCGTAGGTCTCAGCAGGTCGCAACATGGCTCGGTCACGCTGCGCAGGCGGGACTTGATGCGGTTTGGAGTGAGTGTGTCGCTGCATAGATGCTGCTACGTATGCTCGGTCGCCAACGCAGGGGCCAAGATCAGTGACCTTGGCATGCCAAAGGCTTGCCTCCCACTGTGCCTGCCTTGCACGGTTCTCCGCATGCTGCTGCAAGCTTCGTGCCAGCATGAATCGGAGGTGGCCACGCATTCTTCCGTTAGGAATGCACGGCGAAGGGCATTCCTTTGAGGCGAAAGTCACAGTTCTGCGACAGAACATGCAAAGTTGTGTCAAGAACTTACGGGTCACTTTGCCGATCGGTACGAGCAGAGCTCCATTCAGAGAGGCATGTACCGGCAGGGGCGCTTCGATTTCGTCCCACGACGCGCAGAGCGTCTATGTACAGAATAGGTCATCAGAGACGAGAACCAGTGCCCTCAGCAGCACTCTCAATAACCGTGAAAGATCACTGGGCATCACCAGAACCTTGATACTAGTCTTGTGGCTATTGCCAGTGCATTCTCATCCCTGTTGTCTTCATCCCTTACTCTTTTTCTGTCGCTGTTATCACAATCTGTCGCTGTTGAATGGTGATGGCCATTTATCTTCCCAGCCTGATGATCAAGAAGAGGACAGCGGGAAAACGGAGTCCGAACCCGGCCCTGCAGACCAGGCTGGGTTCGGATGCTACGCGGCCCCGCCGGTGACGTGCCGGCGACGCTTCTGCGGGTGGAGGCCTGGGCCTTGGGACCTGCGCTTTTCATGCTTTCCAGGAAGACATCTGAGCCCAGCAAGTGGGCTGAGTCCTAAACGTCACGGAAACATCACACGAGCCCATGGGTCCAATGGGTACGAAAATTTCGGACACCGCAATCAAACAATACAAAAAACTCGGCGCCAACAGTCGCCAACATCTCTCAAGTCTAGGTGCTGCCTACAAAAATCTGCCACATCTTGCTTGCTGAAGTGGTAGATGCTACTCCAGGTCGAGACAATTGACATGCCCGGCTTGCCTTGAAGCTCTTGCTTGTACTTATTTATACCATGATCTCTTGCGGCTTTTTAAATAGCGCCTCTGGCATCACAGCACTCGGCAAACCTTGGCAGCTGGCCGCTCAGGTTCCTCCTCCTGGTGCACGGACGCATGTTCCAGAAGGGCTTCGGCCTCCGACCGAAAGACGAAGAGTCCGAAACTTAGACGAAGACGATGAAATCTTTCAGCTGTTGAATGAGATCCCTGAGATGCATATAGTATCATATAATTAGTCTTGCTCTGCATGCCCTGTAGGCTCTTCCGTATAAAAGCCCCTGATTCTGGGGTTCCATGGACTCTAAAACCCTTGACCCTCAACCCCTAACAGCCAAAAATCCCGAAATGCTGCACCTTCTGAAACCCTGAGCCCTGAACCCGAACCAAAACCCCAAACCCTTCAACCCTGAACTCTAAAACCCAAAACCCCAAACCCCACACCCTTAACCCTCCGAACCATGCACCTTAACCATAAACCGTGAAGCCCTAAACCCTGAACCCTAAGTGAAACCCTGGAGCGCCTCTTCGGAGGTCGTCACCGGGAGGTCGTCCAACGGACTGCTCTGTAGGGTTTTAGGGGTTTAGGATCTTAGGGTTGTAGGGTTCAACCCTTCAGGGCGTAGTGTTTGGCACTGATGATTTGGGGTCCGAGGTGCTGGGGTTAAAGTTGTCTTAGTGCACGCAAAGCTAGCAGCCGTGACCTTGAGCATTAAACGCCGCTCCATGCCTGCAAGACATGCATGCATTGTCGGCCACCAAAATATTGAAAATCCAAGCAATATCTGAAATAAAACGTACAGCTCCGAAATGAAATCACCGTCCACCTCCCAGCACATGAGACGTTAACATGAAAACACGGGCTTCTTACTCTTGAAGTCCGGCATCGCGACATTGCGTCCTGTTGATGCCACAAGGAGCATTTCCACGGTTCACCATGCACGCACATTCTGAGCTTGCGATTCCAAACCGGTGCGCTTCTGCTGATCGTAACCCCAAGATCCAAAAACACTTTCTTTTTGTGCTTGCACACTGCCTCTGGCTTCTGCGGGAGGTGGGCTGCGCGAGCGGTGAAGGCGGAATGGGGCAAGCGGCTTTTCGTGTTCGGTTCTGGGCTTCAGTATTCAAGCTTTGTATGGCTTTCGGAAGATTTGGAAGTGAGGGTTAATTCAGGGAGACCCTAAAGCTTGAGCCTTGCAGGGCTCCTGGCGGCCGCCAAGCCTCGGGGGTTGCTCAGTTTTCCAAGTCATGGTCCCGTTCGAGTTTAGGGCTTAGGGTTTCGGGTTTAGGGTTTAGGCTTGAGTGCCCTCAACGCTGGTCGCGGGCACATGCGCCGCCTGGGATAACGACGACCGAATTCCACGAAAATGGCCCAGGGGGGGAAGCCCTTGAAGATCTGGGCCGGGTTTAGGGTTTAGGGTTTAGGGTTTAGGGTCGTAGAAGGTACTGAATTCCCTACTCCAAGCCATAGAAGTCTTCAACCCGAAACTCCAACGACCCCAAGGCAAGGGATCATATAGGGATTCGAACTCCACAACCCCAAAACCCTAAACCCTAAACCCCTAAACCCTAAACCCTTTATAAACCCTATAAACCTTAACCCGCTAAACCCTGAACCCCAACAAACAACAAGTGCGAAGGTCATAGCGCCCCCTGTGGCTCATGATTAAGATGGGCCTCGATCTCGGAGCACACCACGGGGTCATTTAGTGCAGGGGTTTGGTTTTAGCGTGGTAGGGTTGAGGCAAAAAGGGCTTGTTGGGGCGGTTGTGGGGATGCTAGGGCGGTTTTCTAGGAGTTTAGGAATTTTAGGGCTTGGGGTTTAGGGTTTAGGGTTTAGGGGTTAAGGGTTGAAGGGTTAAGGGTTTAGGGGTTGTGGCTTAGGACTTTTTCTCAAAGTTTGCAGCAGCGGCTGCGGAGGCGAGGCCCACGTGAAGAAGCGATGCTTTGTACAGAGGCAGCCGCGGGTCGACGCGCGCTGGCCGAATGCTCGAGAAAAAACAAGCGCGGCTCTCTGGAATCCAAGCCTTACCTGATGGAATCATGAGAACCATCAGCTTAAAAAACATGTATAATCGCAGAAGTAGTAAATAAGTAAATAAACAAATAAAATAAACATATGAATATACCTCTAAGAATACAAATAACAATAAATATAAGAATAAATATAGATATAAATATACATGTAAAGATGAGTATAAACAAGAAAATAGTACACACATATATATATATATACATATACATATACATATACATATACATATACATATACATATACATATACATATACATATACATATATATATGAAGTAGGGTATGAAATCTTGTACCCCCAAAAGGACACCAGGTATATACACTCACCAATATTGAAAAGGAACCTTATATACACTCACCAAAAAAACAGAAATATATACCCTGGTTCATATAAGCTACACACCCTTGAAGCCAAAGAAAGCCCTAAGCGAGTCTCAGCAGAGCACGTTGACGGGTTTCACCTTCTCCGGGGCCTCCTCTGTAGTCCTTCGGTCTTCGGACTTTACAGGGTTTAGGGTTTAGGGTTTAGGGTTTAAGGTTTAGGGTTTTTTAGGGTTTAGGGTTTAGGCTTCGGACTTTACAGGGGCTGAGGGCTTCGTAAGGACTGATGGCTTCAGGGGCTTGCGGGTTGGAGGGTGGAGGGCTAGGGTCTTACGGCTGAGCCCTCGACATTTTAGGGATGCACGGCTTCAAAGCTTGGGCGAAGTAAACCCTAAACCCTAAACCCTAAACCCTAAACGCTAAACCCTAAACCCTAAACCCTAAGCCCTAAGGTTCGAAGCCAGGGACCAACTGAGAGCTCACTAGGTTGCCCAGGAACCAAGGACTAAAAAAAGGGTGCCCTTTTCGTTTAAAGGTTTTTCTTTTACTTAGTTGCTGAGTTCAGAAGCCTCAAAACAAGTGTACACTTTCAGTTGTATAGGGGACTATAGTATCCCAAGAAGGTGTAAAGTGTGCTCACTCAGCTACGAAGTTTACGGAACCTAAACCGGCTTCGGGTTTAGGGTGTAGGGTGTAGGGTTTCGGATGTTTAGGGTTTAGGGTTTAGGGTTTAGGGTTTAGGGTTTAGGGTTTAGGGTTTGGGGTTTAGGGTTTAGGGTTTAGGCTCAGAGAATCAAGAACTCAGGCAGTTGTCACAACCCGCAGAGACTGCAACGTGGGAAGTGAAAGACACGGGGTAAGGGGTTGTGTCCATGTAGGCACTTGAAACCGTCTGAGTCACACAGCCTCAACCCATAAACATCCTGAATAACTTAAACACCTTGATTAAGCACAAAATAATCAGCCGACGTCTGCGCAAGCGAAACCCGCCTCTGTAGCAACAAAAACATCCAGACAATAAGGCTTGAGGCTTTGTTCACGGTCTTTAAGGTTTAGGGAAAAGGGTCCCTGCGCCCTAAACCGGAAGGCTTCCGAAGGGTTTGGGGTTTGAGGTCAAAGGGCTTAGGGAGACCTCCGAACCCCAAAACCTTAAACCGCCGGGCTTCAGGTCGGTACTCCCTTCAGGGTTTCAGGTTTAGGATTGAGGGTTTGAGGCTTTGAGGGTTTCAGGGTTTGTGGGTTTGAGCAGGGTGTTGGGGGAATTCGAGAGTTCCCTAAACCCTGAACCTAAACCCTAAACCCCAAACTACCCCAAACCCCGAACACTAAACCCTAAACCCTAAACCCTAAACCCTACCTTGGGGCTGCTAGGGGGGGCAAGGGAGGCCCGGAGTCCAGACAGCGTTCGCGCCCTCGTCTTCCCCGGTGAGGTCGCAGGTCTCGATCTGGCCATCCACGCCTCGTAGGGTTTAGGGTTTAGGGTTTAGGGTTTAGGGTTTGGGGTTTAGGGTTTGGGGTTGAGGGTTTAGGGTTGAGGGTTGAGGGTTTAGGGTTTAGGGATTAGGGTTTGGAGGCTTCGTTCCCAGTTGCGGAGGCCCAACGCAATAATCTGAGCCGAAACAAGAATGGCAATGAAAATGACAAGGACACAAGTAGGAATAGGAATGGACGAATAAAACCAGCAACAGCAAAGAGTACCAGCTTGTAGGATTGTATTTCGCCCTAGACCCTAAACCCTCAACCCTAAACCCTAACCCTACACCCTGAAGCCGAAATATGTCGGTCTAGGGGGTTTGGAGTTTAGGGT